GACGTTTATTTATTTTAAAATTGCATCATTATAATATACTTGTTGTGTGTCTGCATATTTTTAATGTAGTTAGGTTTCTTTGTTTTGTTTCCGGCACACAACGGACGCACGCACTCGCGGCTCAGGGTCTGCACGCCTGCCGCCAAAATTCAAGTTAGAGGAGAGAAGAAGGTGTTTCCCAGTTGTCGGTTGTAAACACGGGGCTAATATTTGGTGCTTTCCGTTTAAGGTGGTGGTTTGTCACCTGGCTGTAACAAATCTTGCCTCCGGAATCAGCTGAGAGAGGAAACCCGAAAGATGTACATCAAGTCTATTATTATCGAAGGATTCAAGTCCTACGCGCAAAGGACGGAGATCAACGGCTTTGACCCACTCTTCAACGCCATCACAGGATTGAACGGCAGCGGCAAGTCCAATATTTTGGACTCGATATGTTTCCTTTTGGGTATTTCAAATCTCACCCATGTAAGTGTGCTGTTGTCCGTAAGCTAGCTTAAAAGCTATCAAATCCAGTGTTACAGTTGTTTATATTTGATTACTTAGAGTTTTTGTTGAGTTTGATAATGGCAGTGGTTGTATTCCTCTCAGTAACAAGCGAAAGTCACAAATTGTTATAGTGCTGAAAACTACTGTATTTTGCGAAACAAATTTAAAAATAAAATGAAGTATGAATACAAGAAATACATCTAGTTGTAGTTTCGTAGAAGCTGTCAATAGAGTAAGCATAAGAAGACATCGACACTTTGAGACTGCGGTCGCTTCATGACTGGAAGTAAATAGCCGTCACGATTTGTTTATAACAATATTGTTCTCTCATAGCAAGTGACAAAAAATAATAAAATAAACATATCCTTTCTGAAAACTGACTCAGGTCAAACTGAACTGCCACAAAAGTGAGAAACAAAATATGAAGAACAACTGTTGAATAATACGAAAGTGCAGTGACTCTGAAGTGAGGTTAACTAAGTAAGAAGCATGTGTAGTTGTTTCTCATTCAAAATTTGCATCCTTTCTTGTTTCATCTCACCTGACAGGTGCGAGCCTCCAACCTCCAGGACTTGGTGTACAAGAACGGACAGGGTGGCATCACAAAGGCCACTGTGTCCATTACCTTTGACAACTCCAACAAAAGCCAGAGTCCTCTGGGGTTCGAAACACATGATGAGATCACTGTTACGAGACAGGTGGGGAAAGAAATAAAGGAGGAAACTCTCTGACTTTAGGATTATTATGCAGTCCTTGTATTAACACGCATATACTTTTTTTCTTTTAGGTGGTAATTGGTGGCAGGAACAAGTATCTCATCAATGGAGTCAATGCCAACAACACTCGCGTGCAGGACTTATTCTGCTCTGTTGGTCTTAATGTCAACAACCCACATTTCCTCATCATGCAGGTCAGTCTTGTGTCAGCGGTGTAGTTGTGGTTGTAAATGGATATGATCTGTCACCCCATTCAAAGATTTTCCTTTTGTTTTAATACATTAGGGGAGGATCACCAAAGTTCTGAATATGAAACCACCAGAGGTAAGACAAACACTTTGCCCATTAGGAGGACACTTATTTCCCTCCCTTCTTAGGACTTATAATATTGAATACTTCTCTTCTTTCAGATCCTTGCCATGATCGAGGAAGCAGCAGGTACCAGGATGTATGAATGTAAAAAGATTAGTGCTCAGAAG